GATTTTTAGATTGCATTTTAGGAATACTTTACCTACTAAGCTTAAGACCAGCACAAAACAGTGTAGCAGAAATCCTTCCCTACAGACAATTAAAATTAAAAAAATAAAACTTCCACCCGTTTTTTTAAGTCCCAGAATAAAATGCATGTTTAAGATGTTTTAGCTAAAAGCAGCTTATATCTTAATATATGTCACTCAGAGCCATTGTTTTGTCTCATGAAGCACACCAGTAATGTTTTTTCTAAAGTATGTTTATACAAAAGCTACTTAAATGCCCTAATTAAACTAAAGCCTAATCCTGCCTTAATCTAAACCCTGTCTGTGAAACTAGGCCAATGTGTACAGTTCATAAATATCATGGATGCAACTTCTCACAGCGTTTATTAATCTAGTTTAATGTTCATCTCTACATACAAATGGATTTTAAAAAATCTGTATAATTTAATATTAATGTATTTTGAACTAACATCACAGTAGTATATTACAAATTAACATTAACCTACATAATAAACGCTATATTAGTTCATTAGGTATTAATGCATTAGCTTATGTGAGCAAACAACCTTATTGCAAAGTGTTAGCAAATATATAACTGAAAAGAAATGTTGAACACAAATGCTATGCACAATTATTTATTTAACTTTCTTTTGTGACAAACCAACAAGAACAAAAATTTAACTTGTGGAATAGCAGTCATATTGCATTGAGTTCCTGATATGATCTCATAACTGAGCGATCTTCTGGTGCAGAACAGCCTTCATATCTGCACACTGCAAATTGTCTGCGATTGTAGTGAAGAAGTGACGCGTGTCGAGCCCCTGCAGGGCAGTGCAGCTGTCGGGATATGCTGAGAGCACAGCCTCATAGTGGCTCAGAATCTCCAGTGCACACAGGAACAGCACCTCTGGCTGGCCAGGTATCATCACCTGCACATGGAGCACATGACAGAAGAGCTGAGTCATCACAAACAGAACTTCCTGACTGCAAGCTCCGGAGGATTTGGGGGACGCAGTGGTGGACTGCAGGGGAATCTTCTCTGTGACTGAGCTGATAATGCCCCTCATTGTATTGGCGTAAAGCCGTCCTGTGTGCAGCCAGCCTTGAGGTGGCAGCCAATCAGAACAGCTGGAACTGCAAAGCAACTGGAAGACACGCAGAAGAAACACCGATAGGCGCATCTCTCTGGCAAACGAACGTAGGTCAAGTAACGGAAGGAAATCAACATATTCTAAAGAGTATGGCACATGAAGTTTGCTTGACTGCAAAAGTTCTTGTAACACTTTCAGAAGTCTTTCCCATTCTCCAGATGTGCACCACGGGAGCAACTGACACGCAGCTACTAACAGGCCCTTACTGAACATGTTAAGGTCATCTGGTTTCAGCAGGTTTAGGGAGAGAGATTCCAGCATCGTCTCATGAACACAGTCTGAAAGAGCGCAGCATTCTAAAAATGCTACAAGTCCAGTACCTTGTCCATACTGAGGCAAGTCCAGACCGGACCACTCCTGCTCAGGAAGATCACAAACTGACAACAGAGAACTTGGAACTTCATACTTGAAATGTTTTCCCCACACATCCTTCAGGTAAAACCGTATGGTCCAGTCCAGTTTCTCCACTTTGCTGTAGAGCCAAGAGACAGCTCTGGACCAAACATCAGGTGCATGGGCCACTTCCTTCCCAACAATTATCCCCAGTGTGCGCAGTGCAGACAATAGCAGGTCTTTGGACTCCAAGGAGATTGGCGTCTCACCTTCTACCGGCTGGTCCCAGCACCTATTGCACTCATTCAAGAGCTGAGCTAGACAATATAAAAGCGGGAATGGAGAGGAGCTCATTATCCAGTGTGTTGAATCACTCGAGGTCTCCTGGCTCAGTGCGCACTGAAGAAGTCGGAGACAAAACTCTAATTTGCTTGAGCTGGGAGATACTGGGAGAAGGTACGGCTGGACAAACACTTTCAAGGCTTTTTCCGGAGGAAGGAAACTCCGCATTTCTCCTGTGCATCCAGTTATGTTGCACTTCATCATTTCCGTCAAGAATTGCAGAAACTGGTTCTCTTCTTGAAGTGAGGACAGCTTGCTCCACACGGTGTCCTGCAAGCATCTACACAGCAGGTTGTAGTTGTGAACTCCTGGTGGAGACACAAGACCTGAGAGCTGGAGGAGAATCTTGGCTATCAGAGTGTGAGCTCCCAGGTTGAAAACAGCCATGTGGCAGCAACGCCGCAAAGTGGCTTCAGGGTTCTGGAAAGCCACTCGGGCGACTGCAGAGACTGCTGCATCAAGGTTGCTATTTGCACCGCTCTGAATGATGCTGTTGAAGGCCATATTGAGCTCCTCAGAGAAGCCTATAGTTACCGAACTGGGAAGAAATCCATGAAGACCTTTTCTGGAGATGGAGAGCAATTCTGAAAGTATAGCATTGTTGTCAGGTAAGGACAAGTGCGAAAATATGTCTACAATAATATCCTTGAGCTTTCTGCAGGGCTGAACATCAGTGTCACTTTGACATTTAGCTGTAAGGGTGGAGATCAACGTCATCAAAAGATCTTTGGTTTGAAACACACATGCATTTCTCTCTAGGCACTGAATCCACTCCGCCTCACTGACATTTTGACTTAGTTTGGAGGCAAACAGTCCAGGAAGGCCTTCAAACCCCTCGAGATGATGGTCCAAGATGCTCATAGAAATATTTGCTACTTCTGCTGCAGAACATTCAGGAACAGTGAATGATAAAGATTCCTGTAAGCCTTTCAAAGTTACTCTCAAATTATTCAAAGTCTGCCCATTTCCAACCAGATCTTTAGCAAGTGATGGCTGCTCCAAAGACGTCAGAACTCTGCTCAGGCTTTCTTTTAGACGGATCGCTGTGACACTTGGGTCATTGCTGGGCATCTTCAGAAGCCCCATAACCTCCCAGGAGCATATACTCTCAAGTGTGACCTGCATGGCCTGGATGAATGACATTCCACACGGCTTGGTCTCAGCAGGCGTGAGAGCGGCAGCGATGTCTCTGCGAGCCTCACGTATGATCTCAATCAAGTCAAAACCATCATTCACTTCATCTCTCTTTTTAAGGCTCACTATGCGAGAGATGTACTGGAGTTGAACTTCAATGGAGAGATCAGCAGCATTGCTTAAAAGGTAGTTGGTATACAGTGTGTCCATGCAATTTGAGAGGGCAAAATTACACAACTCAGAGGAAGTCAAATGCTCTTTTATTTTCCTCAGCCCCTCAAATAGTATGGACACCATACATGTAGATGTGGATTCTGGGTCAGGTTTGAATCTTTTTGATGCCAGCGGTGATGGCTCGGTCGTGGACGTCATTGAGCGTGAACACTGAGCCGTAAATAGACGTTCTAAGGTATTGAAACATCCTCTTTTGCCCTTCAGTAGTTCCCACCACACCTCCAACAGTAGTTTCACATCTGCCTCTGTGCTGCTGCTTGTCACATGATCAACCAACAGTTTGAGCTCTTTGCACTGTTCAGCTGGTTGAAAGCACAACAGCAGCTCCACATAAATGGTAGGAAAGCTCATCGACTTTACCAGCTCAAACAGCACAATGTGATTAATGTCAGGAAGGCTGTTTAGTACGGCAAACAATGGGTCTTCCTTCCATCTGTTATCGGTGTCCTCTTTGTTATTCACCTCTAGGATCTTGCTCCACACAATACAGAGAATCTTCTTTTTCCAGTGGAGTCTGTCTTTAGAGTGTCTGAGCGAATGTTCGCATATCTCTTTGACAGCTTTAACAATTGGAGAGCCAATCCGATCCCAGTCCTCTTTCATCAGAGACGACAGTGGCTCTGGTTGGCATATTTGATTGGCCAATAAGAATCCTCCCTGTAACACAGCTGTCTTCTCACAACTCAGCCATGACTCTGAAAAAGAGGAGGTGTATCAGGTAATGCTTCTATCAGGCATGATAAATTATATGAGTTGTATGATATTGTTTATTTGAAATGTTTACTTTCATCCCATTTATGTTATGATTAGAATGAGTTTTATCTTTTGCACTTAGCGGACGTCATACAACGCACTGATACGATAGGATGCTTTCAGAATTCTTCTGTCATTTTGTTTGTGTTAATATAGAATATAGCGTTTCAATGTTGCTGTCAACGACCAAAATATGATACGAATTGACACATCATGTCATCCTGTACTAGTGTCTAAGTCAACGACCTAATCTAAGTCAACGACCAAAATATGATACAAATTGACACATCATGTCATCCTGTACTAGTGTAGGTCAGATGACCGGCAAGCTAATTTATAAGAATAGAAGAACACATGCAGATTAAGTCGAGCATGAATTAAATGATAGAATTTCGTAACCGTATAATAATCTCAACATATAGCTAAAGGCGGGAAAGAAAAAAGAGAACAGGCATTAATCTAATAACTTTTAAATTAATAGATCATTTTTATTACCTTGCTCCATGACTACAATGCTTTCAAAGAAACGTCGATAAATTAAGTAACGTAACAGTTAACTCATATCCACTGAATCCCGAAAAGACTTTTCAGAAGTTTATCTCTGTAAATGTGAGATAACATTTGTTTTGAATCATCTGCTCAACACGTTTGATTTCTTGGCTCTGGAAGTTTTCAAATGAACAGTGTGCTTCCGCGTCAACGTCGTAGACGGATGGAGAGAGAAAGAGGGGAGCGCCAGCTCGTTTTCCGCTTGCTGCGTTTCTCTAGCGCTCTCACGCGGACAATGAGGTAACAGTTTGATTCGAATCTTTCGAATTAGTTCACCAAAAAGATTTGTTCACTTACTTACATTCATTGACACTCTGCATGTTATCATTCATTGTGAGTGACCGACACAAATTTGTATTATGCTTACTAAAATGTGTCATTTTTACACAATTTGTCAGAGTTCATTCAGTTCGCTACAAATATCAACTAAAATAGCCTACAATTCAGTGCGTGGAAGTGAACGAACGAATTGTTCAGTTAAGACTGAACGAAACTCGAAGCAAAGCGAAACGAAAGAGAAAGTATAACTTACATGTTTGCATGGCGGTTTTTGGAAATGCGGATGGTTGTCCTGAGGACGAGGATTGACATTATGTTTTGGACTTTTTGTCTTACTCTAGCTCTTTTATGCTTTGGTAGGCCTAATTATAAAAGTATTTACAAATTGCTGCAGAGTCACCGCATCATATTTCCTGTAACGTTAGTTCCTTTGCTCGTATTATGTTATACTATGTCAAAAGTTGTGTTATAAATCTAAAATGATCGAATTAAACAGAAGTATTATGTACTATATCCATAATATTTTGAAGGCAATAACTATTAGAGGGTTTAAATTGGGAACTGTGCTTTACTTGTTAGGGACTATTATTGTTTTCAGTTTTTAGCCTCACATTTCATTTACATTTAAGTTGATCCTGTTATTATTCCCTGTATTTACTGATTTGTTTGTTTTGACAGGTGTAAATGGGACAAAGTCGGTTCATGATTTGAAATGGCTTCCTTGTCAGTTTGTGGACGAGGAAGTTTCTATAAATGAAGAGGGCCACACAGAGACCAAGTATATCCATAGAGAGGCTGTGATTCAGTTTGGTAATGTTGGTGACAGCCCTTTACATCCTACTATTACCTTCCTCATCACAGGTAAGGGAAAGTTATTAGAAGTTGTAACCTTATTATTTCTATTTCTCTTTAATATACTGTGTTCATTTGTTGTGTCTCATAAAGCCTCTAAAGTGGATATGAGGCGTTATTTGGAGGGTGATGAGGATACACTACACTGTGAGACACGGAGATACAGCACTGGAGGGATTGTAATGCGCTGGCCTATTACAGGAGCGCAAGATCATGACGTCTGGTTCACCTGTACGATACGCCATACACAAGGCTTGTTCGTCATCACCACCTTTCTCAGACACACACCTACGGCTTCTGCAGGTGGACAGGTGGACTATCTACAATGGATAACAGTTAATGATAGGGATCTCCTGACAACCTCAGGTACAGGCAGTCCCTCCTAAATGTAACCCACTGTCCAAAAATAAAACAATCCCAATATTCAACTTTTTATCAATGCTTTGTCATATCACATTCAAACTTGAAATGACTTGAAACCATGATCTGTGAGGATTTTTAGTGAGCAATTAGTTTGGTGAAAGTAAAGGTACTCTGTGTCTGTGATCATTATGACACCTTAAGTGTTTACAGAGTTTTGATAACTGATGATCCGAATGCAATTTGAAGATTAATGAATTTTCAATAACATGAAAAAAATTGTTACTGCGGTCTTTATAGTTATTTTTTGGAATAAAGTTGAAAATGCTTGATTTACATTGTTAGTGTAAAAATACATAATTGACTTTATGCACAGCTGCACTACTTCCTGATCTTAAGCCAGCTCCTTGTTTCCTGTATGCCATTATTGGCCAAACTTGATTAATTCAGGTGTGACTGACCTCAGTAGTCACGGCAATGATAATCAGACAGACCTGAATTAATCAAGTTTGGCCAATAATGGCAGAAAGGAAACAAGGAGCTGGCTTAAGTTCAGGAAGTAGTGCAGCTGTGCATAAAGTCAATTGGTTGCTGTTTTCTTGATGGTGTAAGTTGTTTATTTAACCTGAAAAATGTGTTACGTGTAACTGAACATTAATTTACTTTACTTTTCATTTCTTTTCTTTTTGAAATCATAAATGCCTCCTTATTTCAAAAGACCACTGCATGCCACTGCAATCAAGGGATTCTACTTTTACTTTTTTCTGTACCACATTTTAATATTTCATCCTCTCTTGCCTATGTGTTTTCCAGCTGCGATGGTTGTTTTGACCCGGACTCCCTCCGTGGAGGTGGGATTCTTGAAGGAGCCAATCCTGCACTGTCAGTTTGCAGTGGATCATAAACTGCCTAATGCAACAGTGGAGTGGAGACTGCAGCGGCACGGGGAGCGCAGCAAACTCTTTAGCTATTCCAGCCGCACAGGGAAGAGTGAAGGTAGTGGAGTGGCTGTCAAGGCCATTGCCGCTGGAAATGCCTCTTTCAAACTTCTACCCACTAAAAAACTAAGTGAGGGCACATATATCTGCTCTGTGATGGTTCCTCCTCTCTATGGCAGCCATGATATTTCCCTTAGCCTAAGTGGTGAGATTAAATTTAATTCACATTTATTTGTATAGAGCGTTTTTTACAATGCATTTAGTCTCAAAGCAGCTTTACAGAAAATGCATGTTTCAATTATTACAAGTGTTTCAAATATTAAAGCATTGGAATCACAGAAGGTATTCCACCCGAAAAATCTGTCACCCTCTTGTCATTCCAAACCCTTTGTGGAACACACAAGAAGATATTTTGACATATGTTTCAGTGATTATTTTCTCCACACAGGAATATAATTTTTTTCATGTGAACTATCACTTTAATGCTTATTTTTTCCCTTTCAAACTGCACAGAACAACCCCGTGTGTCTCTGAATGTGGGCTCCACCTTGTCTATAACACTTGGTACGGACCAGAAGCTAATATGCGATGCAGAGGGGTACTATCCTTTGGACGTAAACATTGAGTGGTACCGTGAACCATTCGGCGGCAGCCCTACACCTTTGTTCCTGAAGAATGTTCTATACTCAAGTCATCGACTTAATCAAGATGGCACATACTCGCTCTCAGCCTTCTTCCTTCTCCAGCCTAGCATGGAGGACTCTGGATATAAGTACACGTGCAGAGTTTCCCATAAGTCCTTGCTCACTCCCATCCGCAAGAGCTTTAACCTCATAGTTACAGGTGAATCAGATGCAACACAAACACAGAATTATTCACACAATTGGAAAGTACCTAAATATCCTTTAAATATTACAAATAACCACTAGGTGGCAGGCATAATGTACCATTTTGGTTGATTTTCAGAACTCTTTCTTTCTCTTTTTTTATCACAGAACCTGACTCTACCATGTGGTATATCAAAGTCATTGGATTCATAATTTTAATGGTAGTAATTCTTTATTATGCGCTGCGGTATCTTACAAGTAAGTCATTTGTTGTTCATAAATCCCTTTGGATTATATTGTGTTTCCCACATTTTAAATGTTTGTTGCAAAATTTAACTGCAAAATGCAACTTATCTTCCTATTTGAACAATATGGTCACATTTGGAGCTAACATAACAATCTTATTTTATATCAATAACGTTATTGAAAATGTATTTATTATACGCAGTGTTGGGTAAGTTACTCTAAATAGTAATTAATTACTATCTATTAATTCCATATTCAACAAAATAATTTGATTACTGTTTTAATTACTCTCACTAAAAAGTAATGCATTACTTATTACTAATTACTAGAACAATACAAAAGCATGAACCTGCTCTTTAAATTCGATCAAATAAATAATTTAAAACTGCATAAACTAATCTTGTGAAGGGAGGTTACATTAAAACATATATTTTAATATTAGACGTTAAATTTTGATGTTAAATCCACTCCTAAATTATTTTTCTTTTTGGAAAACACAGTTTTGATCTCCGCATCCCACATCCTATCTCCCAAACCCAATTATTTGCCATCAGTTGACAGTGTGGCTGATAATTAAAGAAATGTTAAATGTTATCTTGAACTAAAACATTTTCACCTTTTAGTTTTTTATTTATTTCTTCCAAGTCTAATGTTCTTAATACTTTCTCTTGTTTTAGGACAAAATGCAGCAAAAAAGGTGAGGGGTAGCTTTAAAGAATAGAAGAGTTACAACAATAGCATATTTTGTGCAAATTGACACAGTCTCCAGTTGTATATAACTGATTATGAATGAGATGAATAGGTTCTCTGTACTGTTTATGTTTGTGTGTGTGTTTTACACGTCTTTGTGTAATTACTGGCATATGTGGAAGTGTGACGTAAGTGTGTGTGTATATTTGCCATATGTCCAGTCTCACACGCTGTACGTTTACCTTGTGTCTCTTGACTGCAGAGGTTTTGAGAGCTCATGCCTGGGGTTTTAAAGTACGCCGTCATGGAAACAGACAACACATCCCTCCCTCCCTTCATCTGTCTCTCTCTCCCCTCATCCCGCCATCTCTTGCTGCTGCATTCGCCAAGATCAGGTGCTCTTCATGGGGAAATGAGTGTGTTGTGAGATGTAATTCTAGATATCATGGTTAATGTCCTTGTTTACAATGGCCGATAAGGCACTGTGGCTCTCCAAAATCTGAAGAAGAATTTACTCATTGCTTTCTGGGTTGTATCGCTTTTGCACGTCTGTAATTAATGTCAATTTGGCAAGTAATTCATGATTGCAAAGTGCACTGTTGATTTTTATCATTTGAGTTATAAATGAAAAATAAGTGTGGGGAAAGAGGTTTTAAAAAAGAGATATTTAAATAAAATATGCCTCTAATGCTTCAAATAATGTACTTGAAACTTGAATGTGTAAATATGTTTAGGATATAAATAAAATCTGTGTTGAATTTTACAACTGGAATATGTCCATCTTCAGAGAACTTTGTGGGATGTTTGCGATGCTTTTTTCTGCTTGCGGTGAAAGCCAACACCAGTGGCTCTCTGAGGCCTGTGGGATTTTGAAGTATTCTTGGCTAAATACTCATCTCTGGACCACACGAAGCCCCCCTGCGAGGCATCTCCCTGACTCCCAGTTATCTAAACTATAAACACTTCACTCCGGAATGGCAGCTGTTCCTAAATGGCACTTGGTACATTCTGCCCTCCTCATCTCTCTGTCACTCTCTCTCATCGCAGCTCTCTTCAAATGCACAATGGGGCCATTATAAGGATTCTTGTATGTGAATTCAGAATCTTTAGACTCATGTGCACGCAATGGCGGAGAAAAACAAGCTTTTATTTTTTTCTGAAGGTTTATCCTGTGGTGATGCTCTTTGGGCTCATTGGAAACTAGCGTGCCTGGTGGGTCAGTAGCTAGAGGAAGGTCAGTGCTCAGCCAAGCTTTGCAGTTCTACAGAAACAGCTGCCCTGGGACCGTATGAGGCTTATGCCTTGAGAAATCAACAGTCTCTATTACACCAACTGCATAAATGATGGGCTGCCTGCCCTTGACCCGTGATCCGTTATTAGACCTGTCAGTTTCCATTCGACCTGTTGGCATTTTAAACAGCATTCGGCAGTGACTTGTTTTTATTTTGGCTAATGGGTTGTGGAAGTTAGAGGATTTTTCTAACACTAATTAATCAATCACGCTGAACTAATTAACCCTCTCCGAACCTCCATGTGCTGCAATTGGTGATGGTGACCATGTGGCCCTGGTTTCACCACCGAAGGGATTTAAAAACAAACAGGCCTGGTCACTCTGGGAGTTGTAATCCAAAGAGAACTGAGGCAACGGCTTGTTTTGTTTCCAAAGCCCAGAAATACAGAGCCATGTGATTGCTTGTGGTGGTCAGTGCTCTGGGGAAATCAATAATGGATGAATTGGTTATTCATAGTTGGGGGATAAATATTTCTCTAATGGACTTTCAGGCACAATGACAGGATTTTCAATTAACCTGCTCTTAAAGAGACATTTCACCCAAATATTAAACTGTCAATACACTGTGAAAATGAATATGCTTTATCGAATCAATAGAATTGTGGCAACAGATTAAAAGCAATATTATTAATTACATTTAACAAATTAGAATTGAGTAATAATTCATCAAATTATTCCTTAAAAGTTAACCATTTAAAATGAGTAAGGTTTACACCAAAAAATGTAACAAAAATATCTCACTAACAGACAGACGTCAAAGATTAATTAAGAACTCTTTATTTTATATTGCCAACATTGAAGACACCTGATGTTAAAGGAGAAAACAGTAATTTTAAAACAAACACCGATCACCATAATGGTGACTTAAAGTTATGTTTTTTGTTGTTGTTGTTGTTTTTTTGGTTGTTGTTTTACTCATTTTAAATGAATTAATTTGATTAATTATTACTCAATTCTAATTTGTTACATTTAATTAATAATATTGCTTGTTATCTGTTGCCACTATTTTTTGATTAGATAAAGTATATTCATTTTTACAGTGTATTTACTCTATTACTCTATTAATACTCCATTAATAACATTATTTTATTATTGTTTATATGCCTTTATATCTATTGTTAAAAAAAATGTGTATATATATTATTTTTATATTTTCAGTTTTCATTTTAGTTTCAGGTTTAGTAATTTTTTTGTGTTTTTGTCATTTGTATTTAGTTATTATTATTTTTAAAATATTTATTTTTAGCTTAATTTTTTAAGTAAAAAAATGTTGGGTTTTCTGTGTGTAATTTTTAATACTTAAACTTAATTTTATTTCAGTTAGTTTCCAAGGCAATATTTCTATTGTATCTCAGCTGCTCTATTTCCTCATACAGGTTTGGGACCAATTGAGGGTGAGTAAATGATGAGAAATTACATTTTTTTTAGTGAACTATTTCTTTAAGGACATAATTTATTACCTTTATAGTCTGCTCTCTCAGACATCAGGGAGTTTGATGCTTAATATCGCATCATTCCAGTCACGGGGAGTTTAAGTTGTGGTTACGTGTTTGTATGCAGAGCAAATTTGTTCTCCTGACTGTACCAGATGGTCTACTACTTTAGAGAGTATCTGCTCAGCATTTGTCTTAGCAGACCTAATTTGTGTCAAATAAACTTGCTAGACATTTGTCTCCCATAAAATTCCAGCTTTCCAGTAAACGTTTCAACACACTTTTCGCCTTTTTCCCTAATTCTTCACCTTATCATCAGGATTATTTGACTGTTTGTCTTTTTATCCTGTCTTATTTTCCTCTCCAAATGTCCCGCTTCCCATTCCTGTCCTGTGTCTCTGACTGTGTGTGTTTATTTTTCCTGCGATGTCCTGGCCTGTGTGGCCTGTGTTTGAAGTCTCGTGGCGTGAAGATCCAAAAGAGACTCTTTCCCTTGGATTTTTTGGTTCTCTGGTGAGAGCACTGGCTTCATGCTCCGTCAGACCCCTCACATTTAATTGGTGAAATAGAATAGCACGGAAAGACTTCTGTGCTCGCAACACGCAATCTGTCTGAGGTTTCTGCCTTTTAAATTTGAACCTCTCTCGCTCATTTCTCCCGTTCCTGTCTTTCCACCCTCCTTAATTCTACGCTCGGGCTTCTCCCAGCACTGCCAAGACTATAGCTGACATTACGACTTGTATTATTTTTAGAGTGTGAGATAGTTGGTTGAGACACTGTGTCTTCTGACAGCACCTAATGACACCTGTGAAGAACCGATATGTGTAGTAAAGATCAGGATAGAGATGAGCTAGACATCAGTGTCATGGTTATTTAATAGTTTTGGGATGTCCAGCTCTAAATAGAGGTTTAACTAAATCCATGCCTGGCCTTTAAGGTCCTTCAGTGCTTCATCATTACAGATGTTGGGGTTAAGTGGGCCTGGTGAGCTGGTCTGGCAATAAAATGTTTTTAAATACTACCAAGATATAAACGAGTTTATGGCTGTGTAATTAAGTATGTTCGCAGACATAAACAGTTTAACATCTGGAATATGATTTATACCATTTTGATAACTGTGAGAAAAATCGAGTTATGAGATTATAGAAAACTGAGTTTTCTATTCACCAAAGAATCCTGAAAAAAAAGCATACAACTGTTTTCATCACTGATGATAAAAATAAATGTTTCTTGATAAGCAAATTATGATTTCTGAAGGATCATGTGACAAGTAATAAGTAATAATACTGAAAATGTAGCTTTATATCACAGGAATAAATTACTTTTTATAATATATTCAAATAGAAAAAAATACATTTTCACAATATCACTGTTTTCTTTTTTTTTTAATCGAATAAATTCAGCCATAGTGAGCATAAGAGACTTCTTTTTAAAACATTTAAAATCTTACCAATCCCAAACTTTTGAACGGCAGTGTATATTTGTTTCATCAGATTATTTTGATAGACTTATTTTGAAGAAATATTAAAAATCACTTTAATGAACTGTAATGACCCCAAAGCATCTTTTAAGAAATGAATTCAAAGGGACGGTGAATTAATATACAATACGACATTTACTATCATATGCATTTAATTATAAAGTGAGTCTGTGGGAGACGGCTTGCTAATAATATCAGTCCAAGATGAACTTAGTCTGAAGATAAGTTTAAATGGTTTGGGAGTTTGTCTAAAGGGGATCTAACACATCAACACTTGGAATCATGAGAATGGCATGAATGAAAATGGCTATGGCATATAAAGGTCTCAGGGGCTCAAAGCTTGATGATAATAGTTTACTGTCTCTCAGCAACCATTGCTTTGATGTAGTGTTTATCGGTTAAGTCGGTAAGCATGCAACATATACCTAAACTCATATCGCCTGAGGCCGTTGTTGTTTTTTCTGTAAAGCGGGCAGCACGGACAGAGAACAAAAGGGATAATTGTTCCACGCCGTCTGTGGAACTAGCCTGTGGATCCATGCTAAATGAATGCCAACTAAGAAAACAAAACCTGATGAAAGTGCTTAGCTGAAACAAAAACACACCTTGGAAAAATGTAAAGGGTTGAAGATAAGAGAAACAGCCATGTAGCCAACTGCTACGTGCACAGGACACACACACCCTCCCTGCTGCCTTATTAGAAAATTGGCCTGTGTATCCCACATGTTTGTGTAGTGCACACTCGGTCATGATGTCATGGAGCAGACATACTAAAATGCTTAGCAATCGTTCAAAGCTGTAGATCATATATGATTATGTTCTCCGAGTCCTGCCAGTAAATATCGCCAGGCTTTTCCTGCAGTCATTTGGCTCTCCAGATGCAGAGGTGATTAAAGATGAAGCTGTCAGCTGAAAGTGAGCTTCAGGAAAAAATTTGACGCCGCAAACCGAGTGACGACTCTGACATCCGCACAGCTCGCCTCTATATTGCAGCACTATACTGTAATTTAAAGGTGGCCGTCTTTATGTCATCTGTTATTTTATAGGAGTCTGCAGTAGGGAGGATTTTTAGGATCCCAAAGATATTCCCCTGCTGAACTCCAATAATAAATCTGTGACCGTCCTTGAATGTAGCAGATTCAAAGAGTGGTTTGTTGGTAAAACGCATCATACTCTGCTCTTGATGTTTTTCCAGCTTGTAATCTGATTCCTATGATGTGGTGTGATTTGCGCAGATCTGACTGAGGAGAGAGAAGAGAAGACCAGCTGAGGGGTCAAAGGTGGGGATCAGACACCCTCCCCTGCAGCGCTACACGAGAAGGGTCAGCAGGGCAGATTCCCAGCCATTAAAACGGGTAGGGATAGTAAAGCCTTGAAGGCCACTGCCCTCCCCTGACCCCAGTCTGCTCGTAGGCCTTGTGGACCTAGTGCCGAGAAATGAAGTCATCCACACCTTTTTATCAGGTCTGCTCGGGGCCTGTCATTTTCTCTATCTCTTTACCTTGTCTGTCTTCCCTAACATTGTTTATCTTTCTCCCATTAGTCATTTAGTGTTTGTGTGCTCCTGTCAGCTCAATCAAGTGTGTTTGCAATATAGACAGTCGTCAATAGCTCTGGCGCCCGTCGCAGGCCTCTGTGTTCGTTCTTTTCATTTAATATGGAAGTTTATTGCTCAGCTCTCGGAAATACTTCATTTTGATTGGTCGCAAGATTCCATGATCAAATATTTTTGCATAATGACCTCTAAAGTGTATTTGATCATTCTGCCAGGCAGACAGTCACCTACATTGTGCTAGTATCTCTTTCTTTTCACGTAATACAATTTTTATAAAAAAAATAATAATATTTCAAACTCAAATCAATGTTTCATGCCCAAGTTTCCTTTGAGGCAAAAATGAGTCTTGTTGCAGCCACTTTTATGTCTGCACTGGACTGTGGTGATGTTATAAATATGCATGCATCTTCACAGTGTTTATATGCTTTAGAAATTGTTTATCATGGTGCTCTGAGGTTCATAACAAATCTTTAAACCCTCACTCGTCATTGTGTTTTGGTCTGCTTTGTCCATCTGAAGACAAAAACACTGGCATGTTTTTATTTATGAATTTATCCTGGGTCTACATCCTTCATATCTTTATACCTACATCTCTGTAAAAGTATGTTTGTAGCTATAGCCTACGGTCCCATGAATTATTCTTACTGTCTTTTCCAGTGGTACTTACTGAATTGGGGGAAAGGCATTAAAATGTCCTGCCTGGAATAATTTGCAAAGTACATTGAAATTTAGGGAGCTGGTTTCATTGGACATTTTCAAAGTAGTTTTAAACGATTTAGGCTTGAGAAAAAAACATCAGGCTGTAGACGTTTTATCTAGTTATGTATTGCTATTGAAATTTGATTTGATTTGCTTGTGTGTGTATATGTGTATGTATTGCTGGATGTTATCTGTTAAACTCACACAAGCTGTGTCTGTCAGTCTTGGCCAGGATGCTCTTGTAAAAGAGATTTTTGATATCAGTGTGCTTTTTTTCCTGGAAAAATAAAGGTTACAATAATAGTAATTAATACAGACAGGGGCATTGATTTTTCTTAAAATTGTGATGTTAGTTGATACACCAACATATCATTTCTTTAACTTTTTGATAGACATCCAAGTGAAATGGATTATTGAAAAAGAAGATAATACATATATATTATATATTATAGATATGCATTATATATATGCTTTAGAAATAATTTCTATTAAGGGCACATAAAATGCTAGTTATGAAAATAGCTTATCCAAAACAAAGAAGCCTGCCATTATTTTTAGAGAAAAAAAAAGTTTCCATTACTATAATTTACACTACATGGTGAATGGTGATTTCAGATGTGATGGAAATGACATTAGTTCATGGCCACAAAATTGCAGAATTGTCCTGTGATTCAAGTATATCTTGAAAAGTGTGTTTACAGGTCCACAGGTCCAAAAGTTCCAGAGAAACACAGAAGGATAAGTCTGGGGGCCAGAGGCAAGTCAAGTTAATACTTCTAAATCTCCCATTCCTCATCATATGTTTTGAATATAGCAATGGCTCACTTTATTGAACCTCCCACTGCGTCCACCATGGTGTCAGAGGTAAAGCATGTCCAGCACAGTCGCCCCATAGTAAATGGTGTGGAGACGTAGGGAATGGACTAGTCCAGGACAGAATGTCTCGGAGCGGTGTGTGGGAGAGCTCTGCTGATTCTCATCCTACTGCTCATCATTCATTTTCATTCATACAGGGATTATTTCCAGAGGGAAAGGAAAGACATCATCTTTCAACACCACTTCTCTGTTCACGTCTGCATTCGACTGATCTGAGATCAGAAACACCAACAGCTGAATTTATCTCTGACCAGTGTAAGAAGAATCCAACTTCTTCCGACACACTTTCTTGTCTCTGTTCGGCTCTCTGTATTATGTCTAATCTCCTGTACCTCTACAGTCCGCCAGACCACCGGGCTTATCGTGAACAGTGACAGACGCCCAGCAGTCGCCACATCTCTCCAGCGCAAGGCCTGACCTCTCCGACCTGTCATTCCAAACAGTAGACATGCAGGTTCACCATCACACATTTGTCATTATAATGAAAGTCAGTGGGGTTAAAACAAAAATGGACCATCTTCAAAATATGTTGTTTTGTGTTTCACAGAAGGATTTACAGGTTTAGATTTACGTTTTTGGGTCAACTGTCACTTTCTGATTCTGCTTGCCTCACACTGAAAATGATTTGTGTCCTAGGAGATTACCTTATCCAGGCCTATCCTACTTCTGCTGCTATCTGTCCATGGGTCTCTCCTCACCTGCTAAGCTAGACATTAAAGGTAATGAATGTTCTATATTAATAGCACCATACATGCAAGTCAAGTAAACTCAAAGAATAAGCTTAATCTAATGCAGCCTTCTATACTGTCATGTGAAGTCATCCAGGATGAAATAGACCTCATTAATTATTTTCAACTATATATACACTATTGTTTAAAAGTAACACAAATATTTAGTTTTATTTTGAATTAATACTTATATTCAGCAAGAATGCACTCAATTAATCATATGTGACAGTAAAGATATTTTATTCTGTTCTAAAGGAGAGGAAGAATTGTCTACATTTGTTAAATCATCAAAATTAAGTCTTCCATAAGCCATAGATCCTCTTCTTAATATCATTAATTAATCTTTGTCATTAGGATATGCACCTATAAAACATATAGGCTGGTGGTTATTAAACCTCTTATTAAAACAGACCTTTCTGTCAAAAATACTAGAAAAGGAAGTATCCTCACAACTGTGTTCCTTTTTAGAAAGAAATAGTATCTGCAAGGATTTCCAGTCAGAATTTAGACTGTATAGTACTGAGACAGCTCTCATTAGAGTTACAAAGGATTTGCTCTTATCATCCGATCGTGATTGTATCTCTCTATTAGTGTTACTGGATCTTAGTGCAGCATTTGATACTATCGACCTCTACATTCTTTTAAATAGACTCAAAAATATGTTGGCATTAGTCGAATTGCATTGGTATAGTTCAATTATCTATCCGTTATCAATTTGTAGCAGTAAATGAAGAGATGTCTTATCATTTCAGTATATGGAGTACCGCAAGGCTCAGTACTAGGACCGTTGCTTTTCACCCAGTACATGCTACTCTTGGAAGATTTCATTAGGAAGCATTGCATTAGTTTCCACTGTTAAGGTGAATCTTTTCACGCCCTGACAAACCAATTCACAAAATTAACCAAATATATAGTTGATATGTAAAAAAATGGATGGAAAAATGAATCCCCCCCCCCCCCCCCCCAAAAAAAAAGAGGCTTTAATTACTGGATCAATAAACCTCCACGTAATAACCTAGAATACTGTCTCGATAGCTGCTCTGTCAAGTCTTGTTCGTCAGTTTGGAACCTGGGTGTGCTCTTTGATACCAAACTTTCATTTAAAAGCCACATTTCTAGCATCTGTTAAACTGCATTTAGAAATATATCTAAATTACAACATATATCCTCAGTGACAAATGCAGAAAAGTTAGTTCATGAGTTCAAGGCTAGATTATTGTAATGCTCTACTGGGTAGATGCCCTGGATGCTTAATAAACTCCAGCTGGTCTAAAATGCAGCAGATAGAGTTCACTAAAACCAGGACATATGACCATGAGCTTGGTTCTGTCAACACTGCATTATCTCCCTCTATTAAACATGGCCTACATTAAGAGGGACAGTAACAAACAACAAGTACTGTACTTAAGTACACTTTTTGAGTATCTGTGCTTTACTTGAGTATTATTCTTTTCTGGAAACTTTTTACTTTAACTTTTCTGCATTTGAAAGACAAATATTGTACTTTTTACTCCACTACGTAGATGTGTTCTTCTTTTGGGGTGGTCGGACCATATGAGAGTTAAATAAATAAATTAATTCAGTTGTTTAATTTCTATAAGTTTTAAACATTCTAAAGGCTCTTAATACCACAGATACTATTAACTGGAAGGTGTATTCAATAGGTTGCTTCAGAGCCATAAGGTACTGTAAGTATTACATGCAACAATGTAAAAATAATAAAACAACTTTCACATCTATTGCCATCTAAAAAATATGGCCAGTTGATAATACCTACCTAGACATCAAAATCAATTGCAACTTCCTTTTTAGCACCCAAACTCTGGAACAGTTAGTTCTAGACTAAAAACACATCTCTTTAACCTGTGACATAAGTTTCTTGAGCACCAAATCAGCACATTAGAATGATTTATGAAGGATCTTGTGACACCTGAAGGCTAAAGTAACGGCTGCTGAAAATTTTGATTTGCCATCACAGGAATAATATTTTCAAATATTCATATGCAGTTTACATGAAAGGCTCCCAAGTGGTCTATATCCTATAGATCATTTTTTAGCAGAATATAAATGACAGTTAATATACAATTTTTAAGTATACAGCATTTTCAGTAAAAATGTAATTAGTTGTCAGCTCGAATTGCACCAATAAGAGTATCACTTGTGTCTTGTAATATTTCACTGTATTTTTTCCAGGGTGATGAGCTACAAAGCAGTGACTCTTGCTGGAGACTGATACTATAACTGCAGTGACAGGTGTATGAGTGATTACATACGTTTGGCTCCGATCCCTCACAGGTGAGCACATGCACGTATGCCACGTCGAAGCTGTTATTGCACAAATCAGTAACACTTTCGCTCTGAGTTCACAGAGTCACAGGCCCGCTGTGATGTGTTTGTGTTCTGTCAAAGGCTGATTTGTGAGCAAAGACTTCATGATGCTAATAATATGTTGAAGCTCGCTCTCAATGTTCATTCCAAACTCTCTTTGTGCTCGAACAATTAGGAATGTTACACACACTCAAGCACACACAGACACCTAGTTTAATTCACCTGGAGAGGCCTCTGTGCTTCAGCCTGTAAAGGGCCTCTCAACCGTCATGGTGAATAGCTCACCCCAAATGAAAGATTTTACAGGGGCTTGCATTCTCTCTCTCTCTCTCACAAAAGCCTTTGTTTGGTTGACTGTTTATCCAACACTGCTTGGAAATAAGCAGTATTCGAAACTGGCGACTAAACGAATAAAAAAAATAAAAAACAAAGCTTTTTTAACTTAAGATTATATTACATTACAAGTTTTCAAATTAATTTTGATTACAAACCATTGTAAGGGGGTCTTATTGTATACAATGCGTTATGGAACCAGTCAAGTGTCTGGCCATATGACATATTGAGTAAATAGAAATTCATCAGTAACACACCGTCGGTCCAAGTGTTTTCATTGTATTATTTGATAAACTCTTTTTCCTCCTTCTATTTCAAACCACTATTGTACATGCTGACATCAACCACTAATAGAAAAAACATGTTTTTCTTTCCTCAATGTGAGAAACCAAAATGAACATTCTCAGCACAGCTCATGAAACTCTCATCAGGAACACGGTCAAATAAGCTGATCATTATGCTGTCCAAACCACTCCAGAGGAGTGCACATTTCCCAGCTCATCACTTTCAGCATAGTGACACTAATACCAATGATGATTTTCCAAGTGCACTGCTGTGTATTTTTGCGTCTGTGCGTGCGTGCATTAACGAGTATGTTGCCTCACCTTCCAACGGTTAAGAGAGAGGATGATGTCATGCGTTATGAGGCTGCTGTAGGGCAAAGGAGCCTGGGAGATTTTAGAGCAGAGCTGATTGCAGAAACAATAGATGGATATGACAGAAAATGTGTTTTGGCTTGTGTTGCCTCGATTACATCACTCTTACTTGCTTCCTAGAAAATCTATCATTACTGAAGTATTATTCTTGGCTTGGGATACAGACTGATAGTTCCTGCTTCTCAGGAAGGGGCTTCCGCTTTGTAGACAAGAGCTTGACTTTATTGTGTGTGCATTTACCCTCTTTTAATACACTCATATACGCTACTGTTCAAATGTGTGGGGTCTGTCGATTTTTTTTATGTTTTCGAACGTCTCCATATGCTCAAACAAGGCTGCATTTATTTGACCAAAAATACAGTCAAAACAAATGAACTATTATCACGATTTAAAATATATGTTTTATATTGAAATGTAATTGATGATGCCGAAGCTGAATTTTTAGCATCATTACCTTCAGGAAATCATTCTAATCTGCTGATTTCTGCTCAAGAAACATTTCAATATCATTCCATTTCAAACATTTCTCTACAAGAGTCACATTTACTTGTTAGAAATACTATCGAATCTTTAACATTCCTTGTCTTTCTTTTTATTTCCCTGTTTAAATTAAATGAATCCCTGCATGTTTCAATGTGGTCTTGAACTTTTGGACCCCAGTGTTTTGTAAGTTTTTTTTTTTTTTTTTTTTTAATTAGATGACCTACTTTCCAGCAAGCTTTCATTGAACACTATAATTCCCCTTTATTCTGTTTAAATGTTAGGCAATGTGTAGCCTAATTAGACCAGGATGACAAACAGACTCCTTCATTTGGAAGGATATTGAGGTTTTGAGACATTAAGGAAATGAATCCATCCAAACGCGATATTAAGTCATTACGTGGCGGTTTATAATTACTCTGCACTTGTTGTCGCAATAGTTTCCGTTTACTTATTCATTTTAAGACAAAGCCCACTTAAGACATGGCTCATTTCATGGATGAGATGGAGTCGGGATCACTTTCTCCACAGCAAAGACATCCCAGCAGACCACTAGACCACATTTCTACAGTAGAATAAGTACAGTGTTGATCGAAGGGTTTAACTGAATCAGGGGGTAATTGTGTTGCGGTGAGTTCTGATGTGGTGTGGATGTAATCTCAGGCATGCTTATGTATGTATGTATTTGTACGTGTGTGCGTGGTTCGATCGATAAAAGAGGCTGTTTATGTGTGTGTGTGCAGCAATGGAGATCAGCACAGAACAGTGAAGTACAGCTCAGTCAGCCCATCCTGGCCGTTCCAAGCTAAAGGGGCTGTAATTATCCGGAGCCAGTCATCTCAGGAGGTCGGCTGGGGTTTGGGGAATGTGTCCCCCTCCTCCACACCTCTGCTCTTTTCACCCTTCAACCCTCTTTCCATCTCTCTCTTCTCCAGCGAAAGAGCATTTCTTCAGCAGGAGCGCTCACACTGCCACACCAGAGTGGACAAGACAGGCCGCTCAGTGTCCATCTCAGGGATGTGTTTAAGTATGTGAAAGGTTTGTGAGAGCATGAAATCAATCTCCTCTGGTTCAGATATGCAATATAATCACATTTCAGCTATAACTCTCTTCCCAGCTCAGCCTGCCAGAAACTCTTTGCTCATGCTTCTGAGACAATGCCAAGAATATCACAAAAATAACTTTAAATCAGTTTTATTGTTCTCTCGTCTGCTTCTTGCACTCACCCTCCTTCTCTCTTTCACTTGGCACCATGTGTGCTTAATTAAATTGACTTTGAAGCGACCATGACATCATCATTTGGCTGTTATTCTTTTGGACGTGTTTGGACTTCAGGGTTCCCATGGAAACTCTGATGTAATGGCCACGCAGACTTGTTTTCGGGAAAACCACAGTTGACACGTGGTGAAATAGATGGGCTTTTTTATTTTTTGGAAGTGGTTTGACAACTGCTATATTGCAGATGAAAGCCAGACAGGGTTCACGTATGAGGATGATCATGAAACTTCTTCCTTTAGACTGATGGTTTGACATTTTCTCGATATGAACAGGAAAAGTTCCAATCTATGTCATCATGGCTTGGATAAGGAACCATGTGTTTCACAGGCTTAGTGTGTGTTAAAGTTTTGTGACGTAGAATTGATCATTTGTGGTTAACTCGACTGCCCTAGTTTATGTTTACCACATGTTTCCCACCATGCTTTTAAAATGGTACCACTGATCCATTCATTCATAAAAAGATCAAGATCGAGATCAAGAAGTTAGTTTTGCTGGTAATATCGACGACATTGCGTGATCAAATACAAAAGTACTTCCGTTTTGTAAAGTAATTCCAAACTTCGCAAGGCAGATGACGACATTACGTAATAAAATACAATCAACACGCTCTACAGTGCCACCCAGCGCATTTAATTATAGCCTGATTTCACCACACAGCTGCCATTTTTGAAATGGCTCCGGTAGGAAGAAAACCGGAATTGTCGCCTTTAATCATAGGAGAGTTGCAAATGCGATGGCGTATTGTTGTGTTTAATGTAGAAATTAGTTATTCTATAAATGTACATACATTTATTTCATACTTTAGACTGTATACAGTGAAATTAATTTATAAATAATTATATATATATATATATATATATATTATTCAGAGCGTAAAAAACAGAAGCAGGAATGAACTATATACATATTCTATATTGGATATTAACATCCAATAGTGTAAATCACGGCAGCAGCTTCAGGTTGGTAGTCCAAGACATTGTTGTCTATCTGTACTTCTTCCCGGGGTTCTTCCCACCGGAGCCTCACTTTCAATTTCAAAATGGCGGCTGCGTGAAATCAGCGCATAGCGCCAAGATAGTGCTTGGGATTTATCATGGATTCACACAGAATTAATGGCCAGCAGCAACATAGTAAAATTTGAATAGTATTTTATTTTTGGAATAATAATTACAGATCGACTATTCGGGCACATCCCTAAAAACAATTAAAAAGCTGTGCTGTAAAAAGAAAAGAAAAACTGTTATATAGTTGTTTGTAAACTGTGGATACAGTTAAACATAATTACATGATTGTTGAAAGTGTTGAAAGTATTATGTGTCTTTCATGAGTAGACACTATTGTTTATCTGACTTGTTAGTCTTGTAAGAATTTGTCAAAGTGACTACATACATGAGTATGTTCAAATCAGACATAATCTTACACCGTAATTTGGTGAGTCATATCAGGATCGTATAACATTTCCCAACACCCAGAGATCCCTAGGGCTCAACAACTCCTTGGGAAGAAGTTATTGTGTCCTAGATTTGTCTTAGTCACATCCTTCTCTCATGTCAGTGTTGCAATACCTGTGCAGGTTATCTCTATCACCGATCCCTCCACTGATAGAGGGCTTGCATGAGCATGTGAGGTCTTGCACTGGTCCTTCTCAGCACTACTGATCCAAAAAGCATGTCTGATTCATTCGACGGGACTTCTCAGAATCACCACTGTGTATCTTAGATCAGATAAGAGCGAAACGAGAGAAATACTGGCTGCGTAAGATATAATAACAAACTGCCAGGGTGAAGCACGAAATTGTGCTATTCCTCTAAGCGCCTGTTGCTGATCCTGAGAGACATTTACAGCCCGTGCCTGATATGAAAGTATGACATCATTGCAAGATGGAAATCATATTTGGAAGGCTAACGGGGGATGAAAAAAAAAAAACAGCTGCTTCAGAGTCCGAAACTTTCCAGCAAACTTTAAAGTCATATGTTGAAGACATGTTGCAAGATTAACTCTTGAAGAATCTCTGCTTTTCCTATAGCAGCAATTTTTTTTTTTCGATCTGTCTAGATCAAGATGTCTTGTGGAAAAATGAATCGATAACCTATTCCTTAGCATGGCATCTTCCTCTTTGACTCATTCACTCACAGCTCTGTTATGTAAAGTTGATGAGCACATGCCCAGTGTGTACAGCTATAAATCACCTCCGCTCTCCCGCGGCTTGCAGTGTTTATAGTAAACAGTGTGCTGGAATGTAAAGTTATTTCAGTCCATAGGCCAGGACTCATTGTAGTGGTAGTGCCACAGGCCGTTAGGCCTACCCAGAGCCCCCCTGTACCTCATTATCTGATCAGGCCTGTTTGCTTTGCCTGGGTTCTGTTGCAGCTCTTCCCTCCACCCACAAAAGACAAACACAGACACAAACACAACAAGCCCACTTCCTCCAGATCCATTATATCCCTCTTTACACCCTTAACAGCACACTCCTGAAATCCAATCAGCCTCCATTTTGTCTATAGACTGAATGATTATGACAGGACGCAAGGTCAGTTTGGAAAGGACAAGACATTGAACTCTGATGAAGCACAGGGGGGAATTCTCAAGGGAATGACCTCCTTGTTTACTGTGTTGAATTGAGTTTAGCCATTGTATTTAAATGAGAAGGGAGGATTCCAAAATGTTTTGTCAGGCAGCCTAATTTGATTTTTTTTTTTTTTTTTGTATTCAGCAAGGATGCATTAAATTGATCAAAAGTGACAGTAAAGACAAATAATCTTACCAAAATGTTTTTAAATATATACTGTTATTTTGAACTTACATTGAAGAATCCTGAAAATGTATAATGGCTTCCAAAAAACAACATTGATAACACTAATAAATGTTTCTTTTGCTCCAAATTAGCATATTTGAATGATTCTGAAGGATCATGTGACACTGAAGACTGGAGTAATGATGCTGATATTTCAGCTTTGCCATCACAGGTATAAATTGCATTTTAAAGTATATTTAAAAAGTGAACAGTTATATTAAACTGCAATAATCAACTTCAACTATTTTTGATCAAATAAATGCAGCCTTGCTAAGCATAAGAAACTTCTTCCAAAAAATCTTACCTACCCCAATCTATTGAATGTGTATATTAAAGATACCAAATGTAAATATTTTATAAAATGTGTTTATTAGTGTATTCTATATACATTTTATATTTCAGTATATTTATTAAATAATTAAAAAAAGTAAATTATAGCGTTTCGTAACATTGAATCAGCCTGATTACATTATGTTTCCTAACCAACAATTTGTCTGTCCCAACCATAGGGTCCCAACTGAACTCGCTGAAAAATGCTGCATGATGCAATAACTTGGTTTCTGTTTCTGCAACAATTAGGTAACCCAAAATCTCACTTCTCATAACTGTTCATTAAACATCAAATAATATGTTCAGACTGGATGTGATTATGTGACATCATCATGAATCAGTTTCACATTCAGTGCGGATAGACAAATTGCTTGAAGCTGGAAACTGTTAGGACAGTTTAAACCGCATATTGTAACTCTTTGCAGTGCAAACAGGTACTTTAAAACCTTAAGAGTGCCGTCTTTATACTGACCTCAACCACCACTTTCTGAACCCAGTGAAAGTGAAACAAAAGGCGTGTCTGTTCTTTTCTGATAGAGCACCGCTCTGACAGTGGGATATGCTTGAGCTGGAGTAATGTGAGCGGTGGCCTTTATCTGTCAGGAGAAAAAAAAAAGAGTGAGGAAGAGTGAGTGAGAGAGAGCAGAGACAGAGCACTGTGTTGTGAAAGTGGAGATTAATGCAAATACAGTGGAAAGAAGGAGGGGGAGCCAGGATAAAGTGGAGCTCTATCTCTCCTCCTCTTTTCTCTTGCTCCCTCCCTCTCTTCTCCCTCCCCCGGACTCCAGGAGTAGTAGGAGATTAACGTGACAGTGAGAGCTGTACTTTAAAACGGCTCGGCGGGCAGAACACACTCAGACATACTTACAGCAGGAATATCATACTGAAACACAAGGTCTGTAAACACTCAAAAAAAATTGACTGCATTTTGTTTATGCTTTAAAGATGTTTTCATTCATTCAATAAGGAAATTAAGTTTGTTTCTGACTGAGTTTTTGTTCCACAGGTCACTGTTGTCATTTCCTCTGGATTTCTATATGGATTTGGGACTTTAAACAATTTCAAAAGGGAAATATCAGAGACAGATCTCAATTTGTTGTTGGACTGTGAAGGAAGATACCTGGACTCACGGAAGAGATGGACGCAGGGCCGTTGGCATCAGTGGCCGAGGGCTCTCCGGAAGGGGAGACGGTTTGTGCAGCTTTGGCCCGGTATGAAACCACTTTGCGAGATGCCGTGCGTGAGATCCACGTGGACGTCAGCGCTTTCAAGATAGGCATCGAACGCAGACTGGAAGAGTCCATTCACGTGAGCGGACCTCTAGGCCGAGCCGTGGCGCAGCTGCAGCAGGAGAACCGGCAGCTCAGGGGTCAGTTAGAGGCCTTGACCCGACAGGTAGAGATGCTGACTGGGTCGGTGTGTGACAGAACCGCACTTCTCACAGGAGGATCGGCGGCGCCACCACAGACCAACAGCAGCACCGCAGGGCATCAGTCTCCACCGTCTGCGGCCCCCAGCATAGCGGCTCTGACCGGCTCCGCCAGCGGCTCTGCCTCCAGCCCCACCACCACACGTTTCTCCAGCAGAGCCACCTTCTCTGTCACCAGCAAAACAAACGTGAGTAGACATCTGCTAGAATGAGTGGAAGCGTGACCACAAGTGAGGTCATCTTGTGGAACTGGAAAAAATGAAGTGATGTGAGAAACCTTATGTTCGAAAACTAAATATTTAGACATATAGAGAAGCCCGAAGCTGGACAACGTATACAAACGAACTGAATGTTTGTAAAAACAGACCTTTGGCGCAGTCTCTGACAAATGAGGTTTATATCAACTCACAGTCGGTAACTGCCACCATTTCGAACTAGTATTATGATGAATTTAAGCCACATATGGCCATGCTTTATGGCCATTGTACCACAGTTGAGGGTTTCCTTATAGGCATAAAGCGAATAAACAATTTGACAATGAAATAATATTTTTGGGTGTTTACAGTGGACAAGCTACTCAACTTGCCGCAGTAATATCAAATTTAGAGTTGGATCAGTTTTATAAAACGTATGTTATCTATAAATGTATGCATCTAAAGTGGCTAGCCAATGAGCTCACTGCACAACTTTAAAATAATTTGGTCAGTATTGTTGTAGCAGTTGCAGTTCTTTCAGAAATAATCCCTCCACCTGTATAGATCTGCTATTGGTAATTTATGTACACTATATTTTACAGCAGCAGCATGTCTTACTTGCTCACAGCAGTACACTTACTTTGCCGCAGCAATAATTAACAGCAGCAGCATAGCAGATCTATTCCGCCAATACCAAATCAACATTGTCATTCCCATTACCATGCCAAACACTCAGAGAATTGACATGACAGAACTAAATTAATAATATGAGCTTATAATAAATATGGAATTATGGAAATAAAGTCAGGTGGCTCTGATACTGCATTTCATTTACACATAAACAAAGCAGCATATTTTAGCAAATCTTTTATGCAACTCATAAGAAACAGAAAAACAGAACCACCTTCACTCGGAGCAACCTTCACTTGCCTGTCTAAAGACAGATTTTTGTGAAATGACACATAACACATTTTGAACAAACACAATCACTTTGAAATGCTCAAACAACACAGATGTTTTGACCATGAGCCCATTTTAGCAGATGTTATTCATTCAAAGCATGTTTTATTTGATAGGTACATTTCATAGTTTGCATATTTATACTGTAAACCTCCAAAGTTGAGGGTACATATTCTGAGATGCAGTTTTTGACATGATAGTTAATGACTCTATTCAGGATTTAGAGAATTCAGCTCTATATTTAGGAGACTTTCTATTGAGTTGAACCTGTCACCAAAGCCTTTGCAGGCTTTACAGCTGCTGCCTGTGACATGAAAACGTCACTCATTAATCTAGAGCTCTGTGCCTTGGAGTAAAAATACTATCATTTGCATAGCATTCAAATTACATTGGCATGTTTCATAAGGTCTTGTTTTATATTTTGGGTTTGTAAAGGGTATTTCTAAATCATAATTTCAGTAGCTGGGAGTGCAGTTGATTTTGGCTGTGAGTGAGAGTTAGTACTAGAGACAAGGAAGGCTGTTATCTTCCCTGCCACATCCACACCTGCCAACCGCATAATGAGAGAGCTGCATTCTGGGCTTGTAAAATACTCAGAGACTGTTGTGGCAGGTCCGCGGAGCACTCCCTTTCAGTCCCAGCCTGCAGGAAAAAGTGAGCGTGAAAGACTGGAAAAAGACAGCGAGACTCCACGTGGGGATGTGTGCTGGCCTGCCTCCACATGGCTGTGCTGTGAGCACCTGCAGATATCATGAGAATCACGCTTTATCTCACGCTCTTTCTCCCAACTCTGTCTGTCTATGATTCTGACAGAGCCCTGTTGTACTTTCTGTTCTTGGGAAATAACGGTTTATCCTGGGCTAAATCTCAGACTGCCGCCACTGTATCTGTGGCATTTCTTGTTCTCCCAACTATCATTTTGAACACAATTCACTCCAGTCTCCATTTCATTTCATTTCTGTATCACTTTCTCTGCCTCTCTGTCTTTTTTGCTCATTCTATGATTGGCCTCATTGCAGTTCATATTCCTCTAGCAGGTTTTATAGTTCAAATTTAGTTCTGAATTTACATTAAGGTAGCAAACAAGATGTACTATTCAAACACAAATTTTAAGGTAGTAATAGCAATTCAAATAGATTCATATCAGTAACTAAAATAGTTTGTCGAAGGTTGGATGGATAGATAGACAGACAGATGGGCGAGCTGACGATCAGATAGATAGACAGACAGACAAACAGACAGACAGATGGGTGAGCAGACAGATAGACAGACAGACAGACAGACTGAAAGACAGACAGATAAACAGACAGATGGGCAAGCAGACAGTCAGATAGACTGACAGACAGATGGGTGAGCAGACAGTCAGATAGATAGATAGACAGACAGACAGACAGACAGACAGGTGGGTGAGCAGACAGATAGATAGACAGACAGACAGACAGACTGAAAGACAGACAGATGGGCAAGCAGACAGTCAGATAGATAGACAGACAGACAGACAGACAGATGGGCAAGCAGACAGTCAGATAGACAGACAGTCAGACAGACAGACAGATAGATAGATAGATAGATAGATAGATAGATAGATAGATAGATAGATAGATAGATAGATAGATAGATAGATAGATAGATAGATAGATAGATAGATAGATAGATAGACAAACAGACAGACAGACAGACAGACAGACAGACAGATGGACAGACAGACAGACAGACAGATGGACAAGCAGACAGTCAGACAGACAGACAGATGGACAAGCAGACAGACAGACAGACAGACAGACAGACAGACAGACAGACAGACAGACAGACAGACAGACAGACAGACAGACAGACAGACAGACAGACAGACAGACAGACAGATGGACAAGCAGACAGTCAGACAGACAGACAGATGGACAAGCAGACAGACAGACAGACAGACAGACAGACCGACAGACCGACCGACCGACCGACCGACCGACCGACCGACCGACCGACCGACCGACCGACCGACCGACAGACCGACAGATTGATAGATAGACAGACAGACAGACAGACAGACAGACAGACAGACAGACAGACAGATGGGCAAGCAGACAGTCAGATAGATAGATGATTTGATGGATGGATGTATGGATTAATGGAATGATTGGTTGGTTGGTGACAAAAAGATACCAGCTTGACTATGTATGTTTATGCTGCATTGAATTTTCCGTCAAAACTTTATATGATGAACATGAAGCGGATCGTTCATGAGAGTTCATGCAGCCAGCGAAATGCTTTTGCTCTGTCCTCACTCTGTGCTGGCTCCACAGCAAAGTCCTGCACTGCTGTCTGCTGTTGCCAATTACTGCAGCATTTCTGTGGTTTCAATGGACCATTGTGCCACATTCTGCCTCATTTGAAGTACGTTGTGTGAGTCAGGATTTGAAGAACACCCAGGACACCTTCCTCCTTTCTTTCTTCACTAAAACATGGTGTAGATTTAGCCCTGCCGGCTCCTCTGGAGTCTCTTTTGCTCGGAGGACAGGTGCTTGGCTGGGAAGGGAACCACACCTGTGGAGCGTGGTCTCACCGCACGATCACACTTGGCCCGAGCACAAAGACTCTGTGCTTCATTACTGCCGATGTGAAAAAATTGTTTTGGGGTCAATGGGTTAGCTTTGATTCTACGGTGCCTCAATATAGTCACTGCATTGTAAATGTCAGATACTTTGACTCCCGCTGGAGGATCAGTGTGTGTTCGGCTGTGCTTCTCCAGGGCAAGTGAGGGAGACAGTGGAGATTGGGGTGGGAGGAAGATAAGATTTGCACGGCTGTTATCTGTGGAAACTTTGTTAAGGCACAAATCTCAGTGAAATGATATACTGTAAACACACACAGATGCCCTCAGACATAAATAAGCTAACAGATATTGGAAATATTTAAACATTAACTCAGTCGATTTCCTTTTAGCTTCATGCTGTCAATCCCAAATTATGAAGATTATAAGGCCTGGGTTTGGCCTCTAAATTCTTGCTCTTGACAAAGTTTTTAGTTTCTTATAGCTGCTCTGCATTGTGCTCCATGTTAGCACTGCATCAGACTGGATGTTAACAGCTGTCTTCTACAATCTTGGTTCAGTTGCTAACATGGTTGACAGTGGGTTTCAGAAATCTGTCAACTAACACTTTTGTGTTGTTGTTCTCTAGACAGTTTTTTAGTCAGTTTTACTCATCTAAAATAGCAACTATTTCAGCTGAATTAACATTTTATTTTGCTATAAGGTACAAAATATATTCAAACATTTTTTTTATAGTTATATTTTCATCAACATTGTGTTTAATTATTGCCATGAGACTTTTTTATCATGTTGACGAAAAAAACAACTTTATTGACGAACCAAACTAGCCCTTAGAATTAAGATGTATATTGTTTTTACTGAGGAGCTCAAGAATGTGTATCCTTCTTTCCTGTGGTTATATTTTTCAAGAACTTTCATACTGGCAAAGAACCACTAACATTCATAATTTTGACATACACCATTTACCATGCTATGACATAACCATAAACATTTATATCTCTCCTGTCATGTTTATACACACCACACATCTGTAGCAAAGACCTTTTCTTCTCTACACACGCACACCTCATGTTGCCAAGCATTACCAAATTACCATAATAGTTCTTCAAATCCCACGTTTGGCTGTGGCAGTGTGAGAAACAACCACCTCACTCTGGCTTACCTCACCCCAGAGTACCAGTACATCTATTTTTCAGTCCACACAGCCATCTAATATTGCCAGAGATGAGCTGTTTTTAAAACACAAAGCCCAGAAAGGAATGTCATTTGATCTGAGCTTTGCTTTAAATTCAGTTTTGATGTTGGGGATTTTCTAGATTTGGATAGCCTACCAGGTAGCCAAGCAGGCCTCAGAAGGCTTAAATGCTGAGCATTTGTTTGCAAAGATTCACTTAAGCGTCCAAATTTGCAAGGCCACTGGACTCTTGACTTTTATTTATGTGGCGAAAGTGTATGAAAATGCGCCTGTGTAGTTTCATACCTTAGCAGG